AAATATAATATATAAAATTTATATATAAATAAATTTAACTCTCTAAAAATTGTGATTGAAAGAGTAATAATAAGAAGAATAAAAATTTGAAACTGACCAAACTTATGTTAGGTGATTAAATTAATTAATTATAAAATATTAAAAATTACACAAAATTAAAAATTAAGTATTAAATAATTTAAATAATATAATATAAATTACATCATCATTTATATCTTACACTCAAATTTTAATTTTATAAAACATTTTCCTTATTAAAAATTACAGTTGTTACAAGTAAATTTTTTTTTGTTTTTTTGAAGATAGATTCCAGTAAATTAGTTGAATCCAGCAATTTCATGCATCCCGAGGCAAAATTATTTATAGGGCCCATATTATTTTAAAGCAAACGGCGTCTTGATGGCATTAACGGCTTTTATTATTGTTCTCCTATTATTCTGTCAATGCAATGACCATCATAACCCTATTGAAGAAAAGCAAAACAATATTAAAACAGCAGTGCTAGGGGCACTCGCCTTCTGCACTCTCCGGCCGACACTTTCACCTTTATTGGGCACGTTATTTGGTTTGTCAGAGGTTACACTCAAAACTTAAAAGAAGCTTACGTGGCCGAATGAAAGAGGAAGTGTTATGCAGGGAGTGCAAGAAGTGAGTGCCCCTAGCACTGCTCATATAAAAATGTTGCGAGAACTGATTTGGAAGAAGTTCGAATTTTGTCATATTTTCATATAAAAAAAAAATAATTGTGCACATTTCTTATTGTTTTTCTTTGCATATTCTCTTTTCTTCTTCTTAGCCTGCTCATTCTGTATCATCTCATAGAATTAGCCCTGCAATTAAACTAATTCCTTGCTACTTCTAATTTTCTTGGCTTAGTTAATTAATTTGGCTATTAGTCAGGTCTATGTCTTCTATAATTTCTTTGGTGAAATTTATAGAGGTATACCATCTAGATTTTTAATCATGATTTAATTATGTTTTTTTGAGATAAAATAAAAATATCTAAATTTTCTTATAGATATATATCTTTATAACAAAAAATCTTCATTGTAGTTAGAATATTCATCAGCTTTATGGATTTTTTTTTCAAATTGTTTGCTTTTATCGAATTGATTAGTAGCTACTTAGCTAATAATGTGAGGTTTTTTTTTTTTTTTTTTTTTGTTTCTTTTGTTTGTTTGTGTACTTCTATTAAACATACAAGTCTCTCCAAGTGATCTTTCTAAATCATGTTTGTCTTTCAGGAATTATCCATTGCATCCCTCTGGTTACAGATAACTAGGCATGAAATATTTAAGCTAAGCGGTTGCCACTTTTAATTTGGTTATGGACATCCATTTCTTCAATTTCGTCCACTAAACTTGCAGGTACACTAATTATTTTTATTTTTAATCTTGATGATTTTATATTCTTATTGATGTATTTATGGTAGGGTACCCCAATTCACCTCTTCATTATAGTTGACAAATCCAATTACCTTTAATACAAAATGGAGACAAATCACCCCATTGAGTAATTGAAGTTATGACTCCGTTAAAGTCTTACTAAATATATGTTGTTAAGATATTTTGGAACCAATCTCCCAAACAAAAGTATAACCTTAAACAAACAATTCTAAATCAATGTCATCCATTGTTGCAAAGCTTTTATTACATCGTTGAAGGAATCCCTGAGTCATCTAAAGTTCAACTAAATTATTCTTTTCAAATTTAAAATTCTTTAGAAATAAAGAATATTGAGAAAACTTTTCTTCAAAAGAAAAAGTAAATGATTTAAATAGAATAATTTCCTTTGATGCTGATCTCAAAATGTTAAACTTTAATTCTAATTTATAAAATGACATTACTTATTATTAGATCCAACCCTTGAGATTATTATTAATAACTTTATGATAAAGTAACTATGCAACTTTCTCATTGTCTTTGTAAATTAATTCACTAGCATTTGCCAAGCATCTTCCAGGAAGTTTTTAGCTACAATTTGTGCAAGTTCTCTCTCCTCCTCTTCTTAGGCGGCTCACTTTTTATCATCTCACAGAATTAGCCTTGCAATTGAATTGATTCGTTACTATTTCTCAATTCGTTACTATTTCTAATTTTTTTCGCCTGCTTGATTTGGCTGTTTTGGCCGTTAGTTAGGGTCCATTTTTTGTAATTTCTTCAGTGAAACCTGGAGGTATACCATTTACATCTTTGATCTCACTTTAGTTATATTCTTTTTGAGATATAAAATGAAAAATATCTGAATTTTCTTGTAGATGGATATCCTCATTGACGAAGAAACCTTATTCTAGTTAGAATACTCGTCAATTTTAAATCGTTTTAGCACAAATTGTTAGATTCTTCTAATAGATTTATTTAACTTATATTTTTAGGGCACATGTTAAAATGCATTAAATGTATTTCTTCATAATAATTTTTTATAGAAAAATGTAAAAGTAAAACATTATTTTTAACATCAATACCACTTGAATGGTTTTAAATGGGTAGTTGATAAATTTAAAATTAAATTTTATTTATATATATATATATTAATTAA